ACCAATGCTTTGGCATCATTGTAATTTATTAGCATCAAATATCACTAAATAATTGCAGTAGAGCAGGCATAAATCTACAAAGTTCTGTTGAGTGTAAAACTAATGAATACGACACACCGATCATAATGTTGTCGCCTACCATTTGCTGAACTATCAGGAAAATAATACAGTAGTCTGTCGACAGTGAAAAATAATGCAATTACTCAGGAGAAAACTCGAAACTGCTAAACCTGCTTAAACAGGTAGGCGGATATTAACCGTAACGCTCACACAGGCAGAAGTTCGATGATGATAAATGGAAAAGTGTGTTTTATTCATTGGTTGGCGGTGAACGGATGAAAAAACAGTTTGCTTACTGAATCTTACTCGCTGACATCTGACACGTACAGTGACAAGACGCGATATGATAATATGCTTATGCAAGCACACAGAAAGGCACACGGACGCTCTTGAAAGTGGTGAAAACTGTTGATAACCAACCCGCTTAGCACGTTCGATTTTGGCAAAATTAATGGCGATCTTACAGGCGGCATGCAACGCTCTAGATGATGAGAAGGATCCTGAAGAAACAGACAAAGTGGACAATATTTCATAACCGGTCGACAGACTTGCGACATGCAGCAAAGCAGAATTGAAGAATGTCTCCAGGCGAAGACGGAATTAGTGGAATTCGCAGAATCAAGAGTTGAGGCATCAGAAAGGCATTAGCGAGCATGTGCTTGCGCTGCTTGAAGAAAACCAAAATTCCACACGACTTCACCATCGTATCGGTGAGTCTATTAGAAGAGGAAGGAAATAAAAAACAATTTTGAAGCATTACGACGACGATTTACTGATTGCCAATCATCTGCAAGATCTTCATGAGGATCACTTCACTGACAAACAGAGTTCAAGAAAAACCTGACTCTTCAAAGCCAAAAGAGCAAGCAGGATTCAGAATTGGATTTAGTGTGATGTCAACTTCGGGTGATGCAGCAAGTCATTCAGAAAGCTGCAGTCATCAGCTTCCCCTCTGCATGGTATTCGTCGATTTCGAGAAGGCATCGACTCAGTCTACACCAGATATGTATTGATCGCCATGAGGATCAGGGAATCGAGAAAAGATATAGAAACCTCATCGTCGTAGTTCACTGAAATGTAACGGCTAATATAAGGCTTGACAAAATCATATTAAAGTAACACCGAAAAAGTCTTCCTAGAGGACCATCCACTCTCACAGACATCATTCACCACAGGTCTAAAAAAGATTTCCAAGGCACTTCACTGGAATTATCAGGGGCTGAAAATAAATGAGCACAACTTAAACCACCTTGTGTTTGCTGAGGACACTGGTCTTCACATGGTTTCCAGAAGAACGTCGCAAAAGAATCCAAAAATTGAACGACCTCAGTATAAAAGCAGGACTGAAAACGAACTTGAAGAGGACTAAAGTCATGTTTAGCAAATACATGTTGAAGACAGTGAAGAGGTACAAAACTACCGCTATCTCGGACAGCTCTTTTTTGCAATGGAACATGAATGCTACAAAATCCATAAAAGGTAGAGTAAAGCGGCGTGAAGAGCTTTAGGAAAAATTGTGGAAGTTGAAAATGCTTCTGTTTCGAAAATTGCCACTGTCAATGAAGCGGTTGGTTGTTTGGAAGCATCCTCGGCAGCTGCAGCTCTTGTATATCCATCAACGTTTAGATGAAGGCTTTTCCAAGATTTTACACCGGTTTCTGCTTTCTTCAAATTTTCATACATCGTGATCCATCGGCCTCCTTCAACTCATCCTGCCATCGATCCGTAGGCCTTCCTAGTGGCCGTTTATTCTCACTTGCAACCAAGTCTAATGTTCATCTTGTCGGTACGTTCGCAACAGCAAAGGGAAAGCACAGGGCGTTGTGGCTCAGTGGCAAAAAACTCTACCCAAACTCCTGAGATGAAGGGTTCAAATCCTGGAAGAAACAAAATTTTTCTATACTCATTCCATATCAGTTTTCAATGCTGCATTGAAGCAGCGTATGAACTGTCCCGTTGCTTCAAGTGGCCTAGGGGACTATTTAAGCAGGCCACCACTGCATGGCATTTGAGCACCTGCGGTGCATGGATGCTGAACCGCATCACCAAGCAGGGCCAAACAAGGGCCTGTTCGAACACCTGCAAATGTGCCACGATCCGCATGCGTATTCTTATAGAAAAATAAAACCCAATCTTATGGGTTTAACAGTACACTGCTAATTATTAATACCGCGGCAAAGATATATAATCCTTTTCAGTTTTCGATACCTGATTTTAGCGGCGTAAGCACCTTCCTAGAGATACAGTTTTGCATCCATGTACTGCAGGTATTCAAAAACATTTGAGCCTTGGCCTGCTTAAATGGTCCCTTAGCCCACTAGAAGCAAGGGGACGGTGCAGATCCGGTATCAAAAGTTAAAAAAGATTGCACATCTTAACAGCGGTATCGATAACTGACAGTATGCTAGTAAAACCCTAAGGTCGGTTTTATTTTTCTTAACTTATACTTTCATTAGGGAAGAAATTCACTCCATATTATTTCTGTGCAACTAGTCGAAAAGCGGTCATCAAGTTACCTCCTCGCGGACAACAAGGACAGCATGGTGTTGTGGCGTTGTCAAATCAGAACGGGTGAGAGGCACGGTCACGCTGTTTGTAGATCTGCTTCGTTTGGACCCCCCTCGATATCTGCTTATTCGCTGTGATAACCTGCAGAAGGTGAAACCTCTGCAGCTGTTGTTGCAAAAAGGATGACTGACGAATAGACAAGAGCACAAACAGGAGTCTGCGATGTCATTGGAGTTGAAACGGCAATAAATAGTACACGTTTCAAAAAAAACCTACCATCGTTGGACGAGGGAGATATTAAGCACAGTTCTGAGAGACAGTACACGACATGTTTGAACATATTCAGAACAAAGACTATGGCAAAATTTTGCAGATGCTATTTTTCATTTATGGTCTAAAAAACCGACGATGAGTAGTGATTTGGAAAAAGCTAATCGAATCACATGATTGTCTTCCTGGAAGCCCGCTTCGCCTTCGTGTACTCAAACTATACGGTAGCAAATAACTCCTGAAATCTTCAGGAGAAAACAATCCTGCAACAGTACAATCAGTCAGTCGGTTCATCAGTCAGTTAGTTTCAGTGGCCGCTTCTCCTTTCAGGTCGCAAAGGCAGCAGCAGCAGACAGTGCCTCGAACATTCTCGATCCTGTGCCAGCGTCTGAGCTTTGACAAAAGATGACTTGACGAGGCACTAGCTCCAGATTACTGATCACTGAGCAAATGTTGGTTGTTTCGCCTTCCTTTCTGGACACGTTCACAAAATATTGGCATTCACTACAAAACATTAGAAGCAGATCACTATTTTATGCTAGAAATTATCTCTTCATCCATATAGGGCACTATTTGCAGTGTTCAATCACATGCGTACGCTACACAGCAGTTGCCGTACTTGGAGTGTAAGCATAAAAATTTATGCAAACAAAGAATAGACAGTTAACTTTCGATTGAAACCCTGATTACTGATCATGTAATAATCGTAAAGGAGGTAGAGGCAAATTTGCGCTCAGAGACGAATGCTCCTTCTCCTATGCACTAACCGGTTTATCATAGCATAAACGCTGAAAAGTTGAAAATGCAGCGGACTTCGCAACCACGGACGTTCTGCTTATGCGACGGCAGATGCAGCTAAGAGGCTAAGAGAATTGAGTCCATTATTTAAAAAGCTGAAGGTCGAGCAAACGTGTCCATCTGGAAAGTACGTATTCAGTTTTATGACCTGTTGAATGAAAAATTCACGATTCGGGAGGTGTTTTAAAGATGCCTGGTTCAAATCCCACACAACGCTGAAATTTCTCCATTAAAAACTCACTCCCTTGGGCATTGAATTTACTGCAATGCAAGGGCAGACTCTTATTTACCTAAATTTGGACTTATGCTGAATGACTTTTTGAACTTGTCACAAAATAATCTGAGATGAC